CAAAGTTTGGGGTTCAGCCTCAGTTATTAAATAATGAATAAATAAATAAATAAATCCCTAAAAGAAAGTCATTAAATAATCTTCAGCCTCAGTTCAGCTTCAGTCTTTTAAATAAGGCTGAAGTAGGACCAAAACTCTAACTGGAAGTACTCAGTGCTGAACTTCAGGCAAAAACATAACCCGATCCAAACCTCCTGCTTTTTTCCATAATGGGCAGATCCAAAATCACAGCTCTGAATCCAGACTTGTCCAGGCCCAGAGCTTTGCCGCTGAGGCCTATCATTACTTTTAGTCAGAGAGTGACGTTTACGGTGGAACAAATAACATATCCTGGCTGCCATCCATGTGGCACTGAGCAGAAGTCAAAACTAGGGAGAAATAATGAGAACCTTCAAAAAGATTTGGTGCAGGCTTGCCTCTCAGTAAGCTTTCTCTCCATCTTGCTTCCCCTCTACTAGTAATTAATAAACCACATGGCAGTGTCCTTGTTCTGGCCCTTCCGTGCTGAGGAGCAACCCTTGTTTCTCTCTCTGGGATCCTTTTCATGGCATCTCTTGTAATAAAAGTTGTTTGTCATGAGGGAATCTTTTAGAAGGACAGCGCTAGCACTTACACCGCCTGTTTATGTAAAGCCCTACTTGCAGTATATATCGGCTCCTTAAGTGACCTCAGGAAAGTCAGTAGAAACTGCAGGACTGTTCAATGCCTTTGGGAATTTGGCTGCCTCCTCAGGAGCTTGGTGCTGGGCTGAGGTACTTGACAGCAAGAACTCGGGTTTGAACTGTTCAGCCACAGCTCAGTGGCAGGAGCACTGTGGGCTAACTGTGTGTTTCAAAGTATGGATTCACAAGTAGATCTCACTCAGCATAAGCCTGACCACTATGTACAAAATTTCCCAGAAAAAGTTTTTTCTGGTACTATCTCCCTTGTCGGTTTTTGGAACTGCTGACTCAGGACCTCCAGAAGTCCTGACTGACCTGAAAATCATAACGTTGTCTAGAAACAAGCCTGTCGTATTAAGGTGTCCTCCTCAGTTTCTTTTATGCACGTACTCCATGTTTTCTAGATTTTTGCTTAACCACACAGGCTGAAATGCAAGGCATCAGAAACAGAAAGCCATTTCTGGATTCCAGGAGCTGCCCCGGTAAATACTCCCGTGTTCCCACCAAGTACCCCAAGACGCCAGAGGAAAACTTGGCTGGTATCTATGTGCCTGCATTTGTTAACCAGTGCAGGGCCACTGTGTGCTCGAGCCCAACCCCTCGTCAGCCCCACTTCCTGCCCGCACCTCACCCTCTGGCTTCAGATGGGGTCACTCCAAAACCGGGGCCTGGGGAGAACTGCCTTGAACTCAGACTGTGCTTCTGCAAACCACCTGGATTCACACAGCGCCAAGCACACGGCAACCGGAGTTCAAGCCTGGGCTCAGGCGTGGGCTGGAAAGGCGGTTAGACGCTCCGCCTGTGAGCCTTTATGGCCAGACCTCCCTTAGAAACACATTAAGTGACAATTTTCTTTCTACAGTTACATTTTCAGGCCTATCATTAAGCCAGAGTATTAGCAATTCGGGATACCTCATGTTGCCTTGATGTCATTCTAGCTCGTTTGAGCGTACGTCAAATGGCACAACCTGTGCGCCTTGTACAAGTCCATTGCAGTAGCACTACCGTTTTAGCAAGCAGATGGGTATCTGCGTTCAAAGGGCAGAAACCTCTCGTTGTTGAGGTTAGTGCAGTGCCTAAAATAACCGGGCTGTGGTTCGTAACAAGGGGTTTTAGGTTATGGCTCTACTAATAAATTAAAGAGTCTGGAGCAGCAATGTGCACCTGATGGTTCCCTGGTACCATATGACAATTTTGACCTGTGCCATCTAGCGTTGCAAACGTGCCCGAGCGTTTTCCGGAGGTGAGTACGTGGCAGCACAAACCGTGTTGAGCACGATGGATAAACATCCTTCCTGGTGGTGGGAGGATAGGAGATGAGAGATCGGCCATGTCGGCACAAGTGTGTAAGTGCTGATTGCATAGAGTAAAAGAGATATACCTCATATTGACTAAATACTTTTCTAATGTATCAAAAGTTGAGAGATTTTATGTAGAATATCAGTGATAACATATCTAGTAATTGCTTTGCCTTATTTGCAAGCTTTTACCTTTCATTTTTGAGGAGTAGAAGACTAAACTACACTTCAGCTGCTAGGTTCTTATCAAACATATAGTTTCCTCCTTCACCTGAACAATTTCTAAAAGCAAACTCTGTGAATCGCTATGGAGAATTTAGCTTCCTGTTATGCAAAAGTGACCTAATCTCACAGCTATTTATGCCTTTGACATTTTTCCATATAATGCAACATATGTTATTGTCCAGATGCTGCAGAGACTTTTGAGCATGTTTTGTATCTTGTGAGTACTTCCAGGAATTTCAGTGTAACTAGTCCTGGCAAGTAAATTGTATCATATGCATAAATCCTTGAAAGAGTAGGAGCTATACATGTGTCTAAGGACAAATACATGCCATATGCACTAAAATTGTTTTACATGAGTATTGTCTGCATTTATACATGTTTATATAGACTTAAAAATAAAAGATATAATAGAAACAGATATCCTTATGCACATACTACCTTAATGCACAGCATACATCTGTACATATGGTTAACATTCTTCTCAACTTTAATTACATTCTCAGATATTGATGAATGCAGCATCAGCAACGGTAGCTGTGACTATGGGTGTCTTAATACAATGGGGAGCTATGAGTGTGTCTGTCCAGCTGGAAAGAAATTGCACTGGAATAAAAAGGACTGCGTTGGTAAGTGTGGGAAGCTGACTCGGAGGTGACTGTGGTGATGCTCCTCTTCACCCCAGGTGGTGGAAAAGCCCATGGTTTTGTCTCAAAGATGCTGCATTTTCACAATATGGATCCCCACATTAATTTTATAAACTCAGATAACACCTGATCCTGTGGGGGCTCATGGGCTAGGGTATAACTGCAGGTGGATTAGAGAATGGGCAATATGTTGGATTTTATTTGTGTTGAATTTTTTTATTGTTAATTTTACGAGTCCACTTACATGAATCTACGTCTTAGTATTTTATGTATTTTATACTTTTGTCCTTTTTGTCCTTTGTCCATCTTTATGACCTCAGCTATAACTCTATTTCCTCTAAGACTAATTTAGGATATTCAAAAGAGTTAACTGCTTACAAGTAGAACACGATATTAAGGTTAATGTCTACATTCACAGCACTACATCCCAATTTTTCAAGTTGTCTCCAAAGATATCCTGCTTAATACGAGGTACTGACTCCAGCTGTGTCAAAAGTATTAATTGCAATGAGTACAAATCCTGAGACCACTAAAATTACGGCACTTGCTGCTAGTGCCCCTTTGTGACAGATCTGAATTTCTGTATCGTTGAAGTAGATGACTTTTTTCATGGGGTCTTATCTGAAGCACAGCAAACCTTGGCCGTGGCTGCAGCCATTCAAAGTATTTTCTGTGAGGTTGTAATTTTGTGTTCACGTTTTTAGTGGGAATGGCATATCTTAGGTCTTTCATAGTAAAATTTAGGTTGTGGGGTTTTTGTCTGGGTTGTGTTTTTAACCATGAATTACTTCTCATAGATACATTTGGGACTGATGCTTAATACCTAACAGGGAGCAAGACAGACCAAGAAAGGGGGGGCACCTTACTTAAGGGAATCTCTGCACATACTGAGGGACAGCACTATAGTCTGGAGTAGAGCGTACCACATTGGCCTCTTGCGTGATTGTGCAATTGTGGCATTTTTTCACTGACATGGATACAGCATTTTATAACCAAGGTGGGGTGGCAGGTGAGCATCTCAAGTTGGGTTTCAGCCACTGACTTTCTTCTTAATCACAAGTACTTCATTTTTCCTGCTTACCTTTACATACATTACCTTCCCTGCTACATAGATAACTAAGTGCTGTCAGAGTAAGAAATTGTGGGGTTTTTTTAGTTATCCACTAGGTCTCCCTTGCAATGTACCAGTTAGTCCTCTGGAAACGAATTTGTAAATTAACAGCAGGGACTAAAATGTTTTGAGGTCTGGTATATAGTGAGACCACAGATGTTTTGTGCTATATTCCCTCTCAACCTACTAAGAATGCTGCTCCCATGGTAAGAGGCTATATTGAAAATATTTTCCTTGTTCCTAGACCTCTCCATTATTTGTAATACTCAGTTGGAAGATGGAAAATAGAACACCCTTCTTTAATAATATACACTGCTTTATTTGATTAATTTAATGAGGTTTAAAATGAGTGTCATCTCCCTGCTGATCACCTGCCTTTATTACCAATATTGTTTAGAGGAAACTGCATCCTACATAGTTATTAAAGCACAATAAAAAGGAGGAGAATGATATTTAGTGATCCTGAATGCCACATGACCTGGAGACACTTGCAGTAACAGAATCCTCTTTTACTCAGCAGTCATACTTTGCACTTATGTTGTCTCCTCAGTCCAAAGAAATAATTTGTTTAAAAATACAACCAAAGCAACATAAAAGACCTTAGGAGGGAGGGCAGTAGAGGGTTATTTTCCCATATTTGAGATGTGAAGGTCAATCATGTTTAAGCGACTTGCGCATATTTATATTTAACCAGCAGTGAGGCCAGGAACACGAACCAGCTGGTGGCTGCTAGGCCCCTTCCCCTGCACTCAAGCCAAGCCAGGTGAGGCTCATTTCAGCTACCACATGTGAATCGCCCTTTTTCATCCCAGCTTTTCTGGGCTCCTCTCAAACCCTTGCAGACCCAAACCACTCTGGCTGTTGCAGCTCTGATCTTCCCACTACTTTTGTGTGGGTCAGTGGTGACCTGACAGGTAGGAAAAATGACATTTGCCGTAGCACAGTCAGGCATGAGCAAAACAAGAGTCAGACAAGTCCATCTTGTAAGGTGAATAGAGTTAAATCTAGCTGGTGGCCAGTCATAAGTGGTGTTCCCCAGGGCTCAGTTCTGGGGCCGGTCTTGTTCAATATCTTTATCGATGATCTGGATGAGGGGATCGAGTGTTCCCTCAGTAAGTTTGCAGATGACACCAAGTTGGGTGGGAGTGTTGAGTTGCTGGAGGGTAGGAGCGCTCTGCAGAGGGATCTGGACAGGCTGGATTGATGAACCAAGGCAAACTATATCAGGTTTAATAAGGCCAAATGCCGGGTCCTGCACTTGGGTCACAACAACCCCATGCAGCGCTACAGGCTTGGGGAGGAGCGGCTGGAGAGCTGCCTGGTAGAAAAGGACCGAGGGGTGCTGGTGGACAGCCGGCTGAACATGAGCCGGCAGTGTGCCCAGGTGGCCAAGAAGGCCAACAGCGTCCTGGCTTGTATCAGAAATAGTGTGGCCAGCAGGAGTAGGGAAGGGATCGTGCCCCTGTACTCGGCACTGGTGAGGCCGCAGCTTGAATCCTGTGTTCAGTTTTGGGCCCCTCACTACAAGAAGGACGTTGAGGTGCTGGAGCGAAGCTGAGAAGGTCAATGAAGCTGATGAGGGGTCTGGAGCACAAGTCTTATGAGGAGCGGCTGAGGGAACTGGGGTTGTTTAGTCTGGAGAAGAGGAGGCTGAGGGGAGACCTTATCGCTCTCTACAGTTACCTGAAAGGGGGTTGTAGCGGGGTAGTTGTTGGTCTCTTCTCCCAACTAACTAGCGATAGGACAAGAGGAAATGGCCTCAAGTTGCGCCAGGGGAGGTTTAGATTGGATATTAGGAAAAATGTCTTTACTGAGAGAGTGGCCAAACATTGGAACAGGCTGCCCAGGGAGGTGGTGGAGTCACCGTCACTGGAAGGATTCAAAGAACATGTGGATGTGGCGCTTCAGGACATGGTTTAGTGGTCTTGGTGGTGTTGGGTTGATGGTTGGACTTGATAATGCTAAAGGTCTTTCCCAGTCTTAATGAGTCTGTGATTCTGTGAGCATGTGTGGAGGAAAGAGCAAGGAACAGTCAACAAAAAAGCGTATGTATCTGAACAGGCGCTTTTATGGGGCTGAAGCAAGAACTGCTCTACAGACACCTGGCTGAGATTTAACCAGCTGATGCAGTGTGAAATACCTGCTTGAAGACACGCCCAGCCACGCTTGGCCAGCAGTCGGTACAGAGGTTGTGTCTCTGGAGGAGAGGAGGGAAGTGGTGAGGCTGCCTCAGTGCAGGTAGTGATGGCAGCTGCCAGCTGCAGCTGAGAATGAACCTTGTCGTTTGTGTGGAGAAAGATGTACTTGAGTAACGCTTCAGTTCTAAAAGACGTCAAATTAAAATAAATGGAGGATTATAATTATCAGTGGCATACCATTGTCTCAGGGTGAAACATGGAGACTGGTCCAACGATTCATAACAACTTTATGCAGTTTCAGCTAAGACACAAACCCAAATACGAAGAGCAGCGTGTGAGACCTGCAGGATACTCTGTCTTCGTCCTGCCATGAAGCCAAGCAGCGAAGCTGGATATTTCCATCGCACGAGCTGCAATGTGCCTCGTGTGGTGGGCGCTGATGAGAAACGGCAGATGTCTTTGTGTGTCGCAGTGTCCCTTCTAGCATTGCTTGGGGCGGGCATTTCAGCAGCGGCTGAAGGGACCAGTGGCACTATCCATCTCCATCCCAGCATGTCCTCCCTCACCTCTGCCTGGCTGGGAAGTTTTTTTACCTCCAGAAGCTAAAGCATGGAGCTAAAATTAAAAAGTCTCTGAGAGTTAGAGAGAGAAGTGGAAAACACCATTTTAGCTGTCGTCTAAATAAACAGATCTTTGTGGGGGTGACTCCTGTGTGTGGTGTGGGAGTTGGTCTGTTAAACCAGAGCGCTGTGCCCCCAAAAATGGGGAGAGGACATCTCAGGTGATTAGTATTACCTGTTGCTTCTGAGATCAAGGTGTGCGCACAGAATTGAGCTCACAATTAGAGAGGCACCTGCCTTCCAGAGTGCAGATCTAGACCTGAACAGTCCTAAAGTGGAGGGTAGGAGGGAAAGACTAATCTAGAGTTTAGGTCTAAAAATATGAAGGAGTTTAATTTTCAAGTCCAACCTCAAGATCCAAATCCAGATCCTCCCTCCCTAATATGTGCTTATTTCAGAAATGCCTGCACCTGTGATTTTGCTTTGCTGCCACTTCTACCTCCTTTCCTCATCACTGTTTGCAAATGGATGCACAAGGTTCTGGGTTGGGCAGTGTCTGATTTTTTTTTCATTTCTCTCTTTTTTTTCCCTTTTTTTTTTTTCCTCAGAGATGGTGAAATGTCTCCCGAATGCCAAACCAGCTCCCAAGGCTCAGCTAGTGTGTAGTAAGACAGGAGGCATAGAGAGCTGCTTCCTCTCATGCCCCTCCAATACCCTTTTTGTTCCAGGTTTGTACAAAGTGTTTGTCCTCCTAAGTCTAGAACGTTACCTGATGGCTTTTCTCTGCCAATATATTCATGGTTCTTGCATTCAGTTTTTGTTACGGTCACCTGTAAACGAGCAAAAACATCATTCAAAATAAACTGGGCCAGATATGCACATCACTAAATACAAGAAGAGCCGATTGTCAGCTACATTAGAGGTTCGGCCCTTCATCATTTAACTTGAGGTGTCATTTGCGGGCGTGGGGAAATTCTAACAAAAACCTGAGAGACACATCTACCTTAACCAGGATGGTGCAAAAGAAAAATTTTAATATATTGAATTGCTATGTCAAAAGTGAGAGGGAAAAATGAAGAATTGATTTCAGTGAATTCCTGCTAATTTTTAGTACCATGTTTTTCAACTTGAGTCAAGTCCCCTGTGCCAATCCAGGCACCTGCTTAAAATGTTGCCCTCTGCATCGTGGCCTGAAATACCCTGTAACTGCGTGACTGAGCAGGAGCGGTAACAAATCCCAAAGCAGACGGTCCACCTGCGAAGAACTCGCCTCGCGAGCACAGTCTGAGGCAGGGCGCAGGAGAGGGCGGGTGGGACCCTCAGGAAAATTTAATGCTGGGGCTGCCACAGCCCATGATCAAGCTCTCACGCCGGCCAGGGTAGCACAAAACTTCCATCAGCTCAGCCAGGGACACCGTGGAGCAAAGGGTAACCCAGCAACAGCTTTAAACCTGTCTTGCTGTCGCCTACAAAATGCATACAACTGTCTCAGGAGGCTGTATGGCAAAAAGGCTCTCCTCGTATTAGTTGCTGCAGTTGCTGGGCTTTAAATTTTACTGGTAATAGTTCAGTTGAGTGTTACTGATAGAAACTCAGGCATTTCATCTTACACAGCCACCCCTCATCCCCTTTTTGTATCCTTTGCTATGGGTAATTTTTATCTACACAGTTTTGTAGGGCAGGTGGGGGTGAGGGAACTGCTCTTGCTTTTTCGTAGATGTCCTGGTTCTGACACGGGTTTATTTTCCACAAGTGTCTCTACTTTTCATGTTAGTCCTGGCATTATATGCAGTGGAGCTGTTTACACTTTATTTTCAGTTCAGCAGAGATTACTGGAACCATGCATTTATCTAATTTGTATGCACCAATGCACAGTTTTATCTGTGCAATATGCAAACCTTTTTACAGTTAAGTATGTTATTTTTTGTTTCTGCCAATAAATTCCGTCAGTCTGAAGCTACAATTATTATGAAAGTACATGGTTTATTTTTTTTTTATAGACATGATCAAAGTGCAAGGACTCTGACATGGACAAACACAAAATATTTTCTACTTGCGCACCATGAAATTATTTATAGCTAACGTCACGCCAAATTGTTTATAAAATGTAACATTTCAGTGCTGAAAATAACAAAACTTGTAGTCAACACTGTGAAGCAGTAGCCTTTGGCAAGCTACTTCAGCCATTCAAAATCCAAGTTCAGCACTTAAAATGTCTCCTTATTTAGCAGTATTAACACGTTCGTTCAAGCACTGAATGTTAATGCTGGGGGTGACGAGGGGAGCAGATGCTTTTTGAGGCTGTTGCCACATGTGCTGACTCTGCGTTCTGCCCCGCAGATTCGGAGAACAGCTACACGCTGAGCTGCGGCGTCCCCGTCCAGCAAGGCAAGGTGCCGCAGAAACGCAACGCGACGCTGCCCAGCTGTGCAGGTAGGTGCTCTCCCGCTCGCCTGGGCCTTGGTGTCTAGGAGCCAGGCGATGGAGGTCCCCGAGACCGTTTGGGAGTTGCGAGACATGCAGCTCAAGTTACACAAGGCCAGAATTAAGGCAGCCTGTGGTTCGTCATGTGCACGCTCGCTTTTCTGCAGCCTCTCCTCGCGGGCTGGAGTGTGCTTAGTTGCCCTCCAGTGTGGCATTTTGTTGGTAGGTCAGTGTAGGAGTGGTGGAGGTTTGAGAGATATTCAACAAGGACAAATATTTAGAATAATTTACTTTCCATAGTCCAGCAAGGCAATAGCGAGCATATCAAAATGGCATTTCTTCTCAGGCTTGGGAGTGAGCCAGAGGGGGCCCATCAGTGGCACAACAGCAGAAGGCCACGGTGGGTCCCAGCCCTCACCTGCGAAATCCTTCCTGAGGAGCACAGATCCTCCCACTGGGATCAAATAAAAAGGTTATGAGACTTTTATGAGCACATACTGTGTTTCATTCATCATCTCCTCAGAAATGGCTGGATTATTTTTGCAGAGGCATTTCAAATTGTGTCTTAAAACTGATCCTCAGGATAAAAAAAATGTTCAGCTCAAAATGGTTGATGTCTGGCAAAATTAGATGCAGCTGAAACAGCATCCAGCAGTGGGAAGTGTCAGCCCGTTTCACGTATCATTACCTGCTGTACTTCTCTCCGATTTACCAGTTCTCTAACCACGTATTTCTTATATATTTGGAACGCATTAGGAGGTACGGTGCTGTGGAGTGAGGTAACACAGCAGCAGATGTGGCTGCTGGTGGCACAGGGGCAGGCTACGTCTATAGTCCTGGTTCAACAAGGCCCTCCCAAAGCAAGAGGGAGCCCCAACCCACGTTGCAGCACGTACCTGCGACCACCCTCCACCAGTTCTGGGTCCCGTGGGCAACCCGCAGCGACTGGCAGGTGATGGGCCAGGCCCAGCCTTTTCCACCATGGACTTTGTGAGGAAGTCAGCCAGCAGCTACATTTTCTAAGCAGTGCATGGCTGTGTAACAGCCTTTAAAGTCACATAACTGGCTTGGATTTAAAGCTGAAAAATAGACCGCAGTCAAATAAAGATGTTTCCTTTGGATGGTTTTCAACTGCCAACAGCGTAGCTCCACTAAATTAATCTTATTCCTCGTTGGCATTAGCAAGAGCAGAACTACAGCCAAGTAACATGGGAAATCACAGACAGAGAGTCAGGAAAAAAGGTAGCAATTAACCTTTTTCATAGTAAGAGACAAATTCACCCAAATTCCACCAAGACTTGCAGGCCTGCTGGAGGGGAAACGTATGTGCAGAGCATGTGCGATACTAGCAAATTCATTGCTCTTTATGGGCTCAAGAGTAAGTGCTTATGTGAAAAAATTAACTTATGGAAACAGATCCTCTTGTACAAGGTGTATAACTCTTGGGCTGTCTCTTTTCTATGTCGCAAGAAGACTTTTCAGTCTGTTTTTAAAAATAAGTTTCAGACTTCATTTCATCTGCATCCCAAATGATAGCTTTTTTTACTTTACATCAACAGATTCATTAGCCCCTCCAATCAAGCAGAAAGCTCGTTTTAAAATTAAAGATGCAAAGTGCCATTTACGGCCCCGCAGCAAAGAAAAAACGAGGGATTCTGGGAAGCAAGCTGGTTTAGGTATGTAGTTTCTTTTAAAATGTGAACAGCATTCTAATTTTTTGTTTGTTTGCTTGCTTGTTTGCATATTTTCTTTTCACACTGCAGACGCAGGGGAAAAAAATAATTGTTTTCACATTTGGATCTGAATTTAGGTTCAGGCCAAGATTCACACTCTAGCTGAACAGTGCCTTGGGTTTGGATCTGGCAGTGCTGAAATGTCACTAGTTGCTTTGAAAAATCTTTATTCAAAAGTACATGAGTTTAGAATATAAGCTGATCCTTTTTCTGGCATTGGTAATGGCAGAAATACCTGGAGACAGAAAGCTACGACCAATGCAAAGTTACATGAAACGATGTCAGTTTGGTTTGGTTTAGTTTTCCCAAATGAGGTTTATAAAAGAAAACAAAAGCTATTATTTATTTACTTCATGCTGGATTAGTATCCCATTGCAGCAGCAAAGACAACCCCCAAGCAGGAAAGTTATAATCAAAATCTGATGTTATACAGCCTTAGATCTTTTGTTATGTTGGAGTGAGTAGTTATGATGTTAGAAAAAATATGTGGAAGATTTAGAAATAATTACCAAAAATCTGAAATGGAAAGAAGTTTGTATCAGGCTGAATAGAATCAAATCTTTTTACATCTCACTATGTCTAGGTATGGGGGTTTTTTTATTATTCGTTTTGAACATCATTTTTGAAGTTGAACAAAAAACAGATTTTAAGTGATATGTATATAACAGATCTTCATGACATTTATTTCTTGTCCTCCATCCCCTTGATATTATGACAGGGACAGTTAAAGAGTGTTTGGGTGTCACTGATGGGTGTTTCCACAGCTTAAAATATTTTGAGTTCATCTAAATTTAACTTGAAATTTTCCAGACTTTAATACACCAATAGTATTGGTGTAATTACAACAGCTCATATTGCTGCTTAAAGCAGCTTACAGCAAACATCTACTGGTGATAGATTCTCTGTTGTGAATCTGCCTTACCACCATTTTTGCTACCGAGTGAGGAGTCATCTATGAGCCCTGAACAAAGAAGAGGAAAGACAGATAGCCTAAAAAAAATGTTAATGCTTTAAAGATTTTATTTTTAAATTTTAGATTCATATTTTATCTTTACCCTGCAATCTAGACATTTATCTCTCTAATTTTCCAAGTATTGGCTTAAAACAAGTCTCAGTTGTCAAGATGCTTACTTTGTCCTTATGTATTGTCTTCTTTTAATAAGATGTGATTGTCAGACTCATTTTTAAAGTCATAGAACTCAATTTTTTTGATCCATACAGTCACCATGGGAATGTATTTCTTGGATGCATTTCCTTGTCCTTTGCTTGCTTTGCTTTGTGTTTGTTATGTCATCTGAACTTCTGGGTCTAACAGTAAGATTATGTCATACAACCACACACTTGGAATGAAATCCTTCTGGTGGCTTGAGTACTAGAAATTTCTCCCTGACCTGGAAGGTCCATTGCCTATCACCAAAAGGATGTTTTTCACACAGAATTCTTTATGTAGGGAGAGGAGGCTTAAGTGATTGTGTCCCAAGGGATTGTGGCCTTTCTCTTCAGTGGTTACGCATAATTGACGAGGGCATTCAGTTCCTCTGGCTTGTGGTAGGACAAGAGGAAACAGCCTCAAGCTGCGCCAGGGGAGGTTTAGATGGGATATTAGGAAAAATTTCGTCACCAAAAGGGTTGTCAAGCATTGGAACAGGCTGTCCAGGGAAGTGGTTGGGACACCATCCCTGAAGGTATTTAAAAAATGTGTGGATGTGGTGCTTAGGGACATGGTTTAGTGGTGGACTTGGCAGTGTTAGGTTAACGGTTGGACTTAGTGATCTTAAGGGTCTTTTCCAACCTAAATGATTCTGTGATTCTGTGATTTCCCCTCAGATAAAGCCTTCCAATATATTTTCATAACCTCCTAATCAAAGGCTTTTAACATCTTTTATATCTGGTGATTGTCATTGCTGAAAGAGATGGAATACCAGCTGGTACTTTCTAGAGGCCCAGGCCTGCTGCTCTCATGAATTTATGAAAACTGACTCTCTTGCTTTGTTTAACCATTAAATCACTGTATATAGTATTGCTGATCTTACCTAATTTCTGTAAAGAGCTTTCTAATCCTTATGCAGAAAAGAGACAGACGATTATAGGCTTTAGAGGTACCACTGTGCAGCTGAGCATCACCACACACTATTTTTGCCTCCTGCATTCACTAGCAAAACGAGCAAACCCAAAATTGCACAGAGAAGGAGGTGTCTAACAACCCATGTGAAATGTGATTAAACCTGTCACTGTGTTCATGAGAACCCAGCTGAGATATCGCTTGTAAGCCTGTCACTTGCTACTTTGCTTGATTTCTTTTCTATGTTGCTTCTCTTATGCAAAGGAGGTCAATTCCCTTGTACAGACAACTGCCAGGTGACCTTTGTGAATCTCAAGTGCGATTCCTCCAAGAAAAAACGCCGAGGCCGCAAGTCACCATCAAAAGAAGTATCCCATATCACTGCGGAGTTTGAAGTGGAGATGAAGTCAGAAGAAATCTCAGGTTTGTGAAAGATCTGTCTGTGGAGAGAAATCAGAATTCAGTTCCTCAGTGCGTTATTAGAATCTCTTTGATGCTATTTCATCAAGCTGCCATGCAAACCTTTTAGCACAAGCCTCAGTCAACAGCCTTTCCAAACTCAAAGTTTCAGAGATTTAATTGAAAGGAATCGGGTATGAAATTAAACCAAAGGAACAAAGATTGAACCTGCAGCAAAATTCCTTCAAAGCCTCAAGTTAAGTCATGTACTTTAATTTAGTCTGATTTCTTTAAACAGCAGAAGTGCTAATTGATGCACAGAGAAGGTAAGGATTAGGTAGAAGTTCTGCAACAATGACGATAAAAATATCCTCCAAAATGTAAGTTGCTGAAACTTCAGTCTGAGAATCAAATATTTTTATCACACATTTGGAAAATTCATGTTTTCATAACAAACACCAGGAAGAAAAAGAATTGCTTCAAGTTATTTGTGAGATGGAACAGTACGCTATAAAATCCAGCCAGAGAAGATGGGGGCTGAATTCTATAAACATGTCAGTCCTCAAAGGCAGGTTTCTTAGCCCTGAGGGATACCTCACTAGCCAAGAGACTCAAACATTAATGGTGCCAGAAAGCACCTTTCTTTGTCTCAGTCAGGTATTGTGGTCAGGGAAGTGGGAAGAATTTGTAATCAACTGAGTAAAGCGCGGGCAGAGAAAATTCAGACATGTTAGTGGTGGCAGACTGAACACGTGTGTGGAAGTACAAGTGGGACTGATGCTTTCTGCAGCCCAGTGCACTCAGTAGAACCAGGTTTTGCAATGCTAGAGATAAGATATCAGCACTCAGTATGCATGGCCATGAAGCTCAGTTTGATGGACCTCTGTAACGCCTTGTCCCTTTACAAGGCCCAATTTTTAATACAGTGAGCTGCTTCCACAAATTATATGGAGAAGACAGTGAAGCAAACAGAGGTGTCATAGTGCAATGAAGGCTAAGCTTTTTGTTAAGCGCCTCTTTTTAAACATGAATCTCAATTGCTTCTAGTTTTGTTATCATTTCCCATCTAGACACCTGTAACATTGACTGTGTTCGGAAAAGGATGGAGCAGAAGCTGCAAACTGCAATCAAAACATTGAGGAAATCTATTAATAAACAGCAATTTTACATTCAGTTTTCTGGGACAGAATATGAAGTGGCTCAGAAGCCAGCTAAAGCTACTGAAGGGCAAGAAGCTTGCAGTACAGGGCAAGTGCTGCAGGATGGAAAATGCGGTAAGTCCCAACAACTCTATTCAGCCATGTCCCCCAAAACAAGCCGTCCAAAATGAACTTGTCCCTAGTGAGCCAGGCAGGAAATCTATGAGATAACAGGCAATTTAGATCAGTATTACCCAGCATACGTGCATGGGCCGCCGACATTTCATAACACTTTGAAGGGAGTTCATTAAATGATTGCAGGAAAACAAAAGAAACGCATATATGCATGCATTCCCATGCCACCAGCTGGTACGTATCAAGGCCTGCCACAAGGCAATGTTGGCAATTAGTTCCCTGTTGTTCCCAGCATCTTATGAAAATGTAATTACAATTCTGTAAAACAATAATATGGTGTTTGCCTAGGCACTGTGTACTTAGTTTTATATCACCTCTCTCACCCTCCTCATCACCAAATAATCTGTGACCCATGGATGTATTTAAATTTAACACTCAAGAGGTACAATAAAAAAAAAATCTATAGAAATCAATTTTAACTTTCTGTGAAATACCTAATTTCTTTAAGCCTTTTCCCAGGTTATCAGGCTCTAGTGCTTTACTGGAGGCAAGGTGCTAGCATGAACCTATTAATGGCAGTTCTCAGCACTGCAATTTTTCTAATTACTTAGAGTCATCTTTTTAAACTCAGCATACCTATTTTTCCAGCTTCTTCTAGACACCAAGTGATTTACAAGCAAAAAGCAATAGTTAAGTGCAGATCTGATAGGTGCCTCTGAGTTCGTTCAGCAGCTGTATTCATCACATAGGAACAGTAATTTAGAAACTATTGAAAGACTGTTGCTATTAGTGTCTCAAAATCCATACATTTTAACTACCTATACCCAGCAGAGAAAAAAATGTTTAATGCATTTATATGCCCTGTTGCAGCAAGACAAGCATGTGTATTCATATCAGTATTTAAAACACTTTCCAGTTGGGGTATTTGAGTGTCAAGAGACAAAAAATGTTACATGGGATACACTGCCTTCAGAGAAATCTCTAGAACTGATCACAGGAGACAGACTTTCTGTAGCCATCTGCCATAAAACCAACATGTAAATGCACCTAGTGTAAACTAAAAATTCATATCACTTCCCATACGTTATGCACCACTGTTTTAATTAAACTGCAATATACTGTTTTAAGACTGCATCAGCTTTATTAACAACGCATGTCTGAAACACGTCAGTGCAGTACAAGGCCATTCTATAGCTTAAGCAACAGATGAAGGACCTCGCCCTGATGTAAACTGACCTAGACTGCAGTGGAGATGGGCCTGTTTACATTAGGTGAGGATCCTGGACTAACATATGCAAAACATATGCTGCTATAATACTGAGGCCAAAGAGATACGTCTTCTCTAAATGTTTGATAGAAAGGTAAATAATGTGATCAATATGAAAGTCCTCATGTAGGTTCTCCTTTTCTTTTCTCAGTTACCTGCAGCACGGGCACCTTTTATAGTGGAGAACATAATCAGTGCGTTCCTTGCTCACCAGGAACATACCAAGACACAGAAGGTCAACTTACCTGCGAGCCTTGCCCAAGTAACGATGGACAGGGAGTAGCAGGCGCCCGGAACGTGTCAGAATGTGGAGGCAAGTTTAATGTGATTGTAAAAGAATTGGGTGTTGCCACACAGCTTGTGAGGCTAAGAGGGGAGAGCCTTCCACCCTTCTGTCTTGTGAAGGTAACAGAGGAAATCTCTGTGCGCTTGCTTGCAAGCAATACACAAAATGTTTTGGCTTGTTCCATCCACTGACATTGTCAACAAGAAGATGGGACCTGCTACAGCAATGTGAGTTATGGTATGGAAACGAGCAAGCCAAGTAAAGCACTTTGCTTCAAGTCAGGTATGGAATCTGGACATACCTCGACTTGTAAGGACTCGTCAGGTTTACTGTGAGCCAAAGGGATGGATTACTTTGGACTGGTATTGGTGAGTCTAATGAACCTGCTGCTTTAATGTTTTGCGTGAGATGCAGTTTACCTGGTCTAATCAGCAATGATCATAATTTTGAGATGGTTATGCTGCAGGGATCTGTAACCTGGACTCAGGGCTAATGACTGCAAGTTTCCACGCTGCTTGAATTCATTGTAGCTTTTGGCAAGTGATGTAGCATCTCTGACGCAACTTGATGATATATAAATTAGATGATAATACCTGTTTTTATAAGAGAGCTGTGCTACTACTATAACTTGATTGAGATAAGGTTTTAAGACACAGCTGTTAATTATTTTCTTACCTTATTTCATTACAGATGAGCAAAATCTAGTTTCTAGCAGATACATTATTTGAGTTGGAAAGAAATCTATCCTATCTGCTATGCAAGTTCTAATTAAAACTCATCCATGTAATTTAGATTAATGCTTTCTTCAAGGATATCTAGAGTGAACACACAATGAATGTCACTTGAGAAACTGCAGCTTTTCCCCCATCCACTGAATAAAAAAACCCTGTAGTGTCTCCAGTCCAAACATATGGTAGGTTTTGCTCACTTACTGTGTGAAGGAACTACCACAGGAAAATTCTCAAAATGCCTGTGCATCTTTGTTATGTTGATTTGTATTTATCCAAAATCCAGCAAGAATAGATTGTCAAAATAAAATCTGAGTTTATAAAGGTTGATTATAGTATACTGACCAGAGCAGCACAATGACTAGAGGAAAAAGACTGTTTTGTTTCAAGGCTTGCATTTGAGTTACAGTTCTGCACAACAAAAAGAAACCCTCCTGATTATTTTTGCGGAATGGATCTGTCTCAAAATTTTTACTCTCAGATCACAACAGTCTGGTTTTCTGTTCAACTCTCCCCTTCTCTCTTTCTCTGAAAGCAGCAAGAGAGAATATGCTTTGGACTTCATAAACCTCCCTGTCAAAGATTTTATCAAAATCAGTATGTCTCCATAAAATGTGTCAGCATATGTGATGAAATACTGTATTTTGATGAACACATTTTGTTAGAAATGTACTCACCACCTGTAATCAACAGTATTTTTGTATAATATCTTCTGGCGCAGTAATGCCTGTGTAGTAGCAAATAAGCTGTGACTGAAATCCTCACTCCTACAGGTGAGGCACATACGAGTGTGTAAGAGTTTGAGTGCCCATTGCGTAGAACTCTGTCGTAGCTGCAAGTGAATAACATGCTGTGATACTTAATTTACATGCAATCCATGTAGGTACAAGGACAAAACACAATTAGAAAACCTAGTAATTTGGGGCATTTCTCAGGGAAACCACCTCAGACCTATTTTGTTGGCAATTTCAATACAGAAGGCAAGAAGGGAGTGAGTTAGCTCATCCTTATATACGTAAGGACTGAGACATGTTAGTGCTGAAAGCATTGGGTATTTAGCACTACTGAAACCCAGCTGTGACACTTCTTTAAAAGGATGTCTGTAAGCCACGCTTCACAAGTACTTAATTTTCACACTAAAATCCAGATCCAAATCTACTCTTCATTAACTGCTTTCATGTTAAAGTCCAGTGACCAGATGGAACAGTTTTGCTACAAAACTAATAGCAGAATTGTCTTCCAATTAGTAATATAATAATATTTTTCAGAGGTCACAACAGCCAGCTTGTACAGTCATATTCCAGCCAGCTGGGATGGAAGTGCAACTAAATCCCAGAGATCCTTGTCCCACAGGTGTCCATAGGAGTTTGACTTTTGTGGGGACAGAACGTGAGCTCCTGAGAGAAAGCAAAGTTCTAGTTCATCCTAAATGCCAAGTACCCAAGACACTGGATGCCCCCAGCTGGATTTCCCAGCAAGTATCAAGGTTCTTAAGAGACCCCAGCCCCACCTAGAGCTCTCAAAACTTTCAGGTTTTCAAGCCAGTTGTTTCTGCCTGCTGTTCAGTTCTCAGGGAAGCAAAATGACAAAGTATTGGGATTAGGCAACCTTGGGGAACACCTAACATCAAAGTGCTGGTCTCCCAGGCTGGGGTGGTGTGAAGATACGCATTAATGCAAAAATCTTTAATATCTTGACATCCTGATTCGCAGGTAGGTTGTCAAAGAGTAAAGCACTCAAGCTAGCAAGAACCAAGCCAAAGAAACACCTACCAGAAATGCCTGGAGAGTAAGTTTTGAAACTACCTTGTATCTGTCAGTAGACTCGTTCACAAAGTGCTTTGCTTTACACAGATCACCATTTTCTGGCAGAAGAGCTTCTGACAAGCACTCGTCAGCTACCTGGAAAGCTGCTGGTGTCAGCTATTCTCACAGGGTGCTGGACTGGTCCCATCCAGTCTGGTAAATCCCATGATCTACTGTTTCTATATCTACAAAATGGAGATTAAAAAAAAAAACAACAAACAATTACTTGCTTCATAGATATGGTGCTAAGTTTCATTTTTTCCTACAAAGTCCTTTGAAATTCTCAGTTGAAAGACTTGGTGAAAGTACAAAGTTTTCCAACAACATCTTAATAGAGCTCTTGCTAAAAAAAAAAACAAAAAAAAAAAACACACAACAACAACAAAAAAAACCCCAGAAACATAGGTAGCAAAGAGCTTATTGAGAAGCTAGTTGTATTTACTGGTGGTGTTTTTAGGAAGCAGTTACAGGAACAATACCAAATCAGCAGGTAAGATTAGAATTTGATCTGCAACTGTCTTGATGTCACATATTTCAGCTAAAGGAAGCATCGCTAACTACTAGTGGGTTTTATACTTTGTCCAGAAAAGTCAGCTCACTAATGCAGATGATCATTTTCAATTTCTAGGGCAGTGTTCTCCTGGGCACTATTCTTCAGATGGTTTTAGACCCTGTAGAGTCTGTCCTCTCGGTACATACCAGCCTGAACCGGGGAGGACACTCTGCTTTCCATGTGGCGGTGGGCTTGTGACCAAGTATGAAGGTGCTGTTTCCTTTCAAGACTGCGAAACCAAAGGTGAATTTAGAATCTTTCCATGATTCATATTCCTGC